AGCCTTTCAGGCGAGCCGGGAGGCGGAGCCGGAGGTGATTGACAGGGAGGGGCGGGCAACCCCGGGGGCGGCGGGCAGAGCCAGGCTGTCCCCTATGGAACCTGCAATTTTAGGTCAAAGCGGGAGCTGAGCGGGCCATGCAGCGCAGGGAAGCGCTGAGCACGGGGACAGCGCATCGTCACCTCCTCCTCGTCACTCCAGCCCTGCTCCCCCCACTCTGAGTCAACCAGCAGTGGTGAATAATGAGGCAGTTTTGCTAATTAGACAAAGCAAGCCAGGCAGAGTGAAGTCTCTTTATTAATCAGTTTTCACAGATGGCTTTTATTCCTTCAGTTGGGAAAGGGACAGGTCTGCTGTGCAAATGAAACCACGGCCCTCGTTCAGCACCACCGAGAAACCCCACCAAAACCTTTCTGAAACCACCAGCGGCGGAGCAGCCGGGGCCGGAGCGGGGTCACCAGGTCTTCCCTTCCGAGGAAGGGGTAAGCGAAGAGGTCGGTCTTCTGTCACTCCCCAGGCGCATTTTAAAAGGTCACAGCCGCAAGCTGCGACATTTCACTGTGACGCAGACCCCTGAAAGGCTAGATCCCACCTAGGGACACTTCTGGAACAGGTTAGTTGGTTAGCTGCATCTTTACCCACGTCCTTTACCGAGCACCAACTCCAGGAGGAAAAACAAAACCCACACCAAAACAGGTTTGAAGCATCTCTCCTGCCTTGTTTCAGACACTGTGTGTATCTACTGCCCTGTGGTTTTTTGACTGACCACCTCAGCCTCGCCCCCAGCTCCTGGCACAGCTCGCTCACAGCACAGAGCGCCCTTCCCAGCTGCGCAGACAGAGAAGGTTCCAATACGCCTCCAAGTATTCGTAACAGTTTCAGACCTAGCTCACAGGTTACAACTGAGCAGAGCTTCAGTACCTTGAAAAACACAGCTACGCTTCAGACGTCCTCAGATAGTGAATTTTTCCTCCACGCCTTTAAAAATAAAGAAGGATTGTGAGGTTACACTGAGCCACCCAAGCCAGAAAGCAGGATAAAAAGTAACTTTGGAGTTGTCTATCCATTTTGGAAAGTCTTCATTTATTGTAGTGATTATTTAAGAAGCATACACTATGGTATCAAAAAAAGCCATAACATGCAGACAGGAGACCTTTCCAGGTGATTGAGCAGAAGCAAATGTAGATTTACAATTAGCTTTAATATAATACTATTTAAACGCTGATAGCAGATCTTAAGTTCACTTTTGATGCTTTGAAAGAACATGTATGCACATGAATTGTTCAGGAATTTAAGGCAATTTGCATATTAAGATAAAAAAACATTAGGTTAATAGATTTTTATGTTGTGCTCAAAATGTTAGCTGAATTGAACCCATTTACATATACTTCATCTCAAAGGACTAAGAGTCATAAATAGCAGCTGCTCCTTGATAAAAATACAGTCCTGAGAACAAGCTAGTAGCAATGCTTAAGCTATGACATCTTCCATGTCAGAGTATAAGCTATTTTTGCAGTAAGGAGCAGTATTTACCAGGTGTTCAACAGGCAAAGCCATTCTAAACATGCAATAGCTCCCAACAGAAGTCTGAAATTACTTCCAGTATCTTGCTTACAACAGTTTATTTGCACACTGCAGAAAGATCAAGAAATCCTGCTATGCATTTGTGATCACTAATATTTCAAACACAACAACCAAGGGATACAACATGAGGACAGGCAGCAAGAGGTGTTTTACAAAAGCCCCCCCAAAACAAGAGTCTTCCAGTAACTGGTTAGATTCCACGGTAATTGGAACACTTCCCTCCCCAACCCCTGGGAATTATTCCCCACACTATAGCTATGCTATGACCAAACAACACTGGAGTGTTTAAATTCAGTGCAAGAAGAGTAATTTCAGGACATTTAATCTCACTCTAAAGGCAAAAGTTTATCTATATAGACATCCAAATGCCAACATATTTAGTACAGTGTAATGAAGTCACATAGATTTCACTCTCAGAGGTATGCTCTCGTGGTGATCACCTGCATTCCACAAAAAAAAATGTGTTTGAAACAGTGTAATATGGTAGACTCAATGCTTTAAAAAAATTTATTCAGCTGGAATCGGAACTCCCTAACATTCACAATATAATTTAGGATGCATTTGTTACATGAAGAGCAGATGAAAGACTTAAACAGTTTCACATACCAGTTAAGATATTCCACGTGCTCCTTCCCCACCTACAATACTGACATCTTGGTGGTTTGGTTTTTTTTCTTTTTTCCTTAACAAATACTCAGTTCACTTGTCAACCTGACTACCTCCCCGCTTCTACAGGAGCGGACATATAGTGACAACGGTGAGAGGATATGGGACACTGTCCTATCCAGTGTTTGGACCCTGGAGAGGAGTAGGCCTTAGCTATACAAGTAAGAGTTTGACGATGAGCTGAACGTGAAGCGCTTCGGCAACTGAGGCAAAGCTGCACTCAGAAAAAGCTGTATAGTCACAGAGAAAGGAAAGCATCAGTGGCTGAACAGAGGGGAAAGGGGGAAGTAGTCCACCCACCCCCAAATCCCCTAACAACCCATTAACTTTACAAAAAGAGCTGAAGAACTAACAAACTCCATTATCTGCAAGGTCCGCAGAATTCAATGCCACATTAGGATGACCCACTCCAATTCCTAATCATTTGTCAACACTTAACATGGCTTTCGCCGTGCACAGTATGCATATTCTACAGACTAACCCACCCACTCCCCTCCCGCACCTTCTTCCTCTTTCCCCTCCCCCCAAAAGAATCAAGTGGATTTATTAGAGAGTTTCACTACTGGTTACCCCATACATGCCCCAAGTTTGCTTTTCCTTTGAGGGCAGAGGGGTTGTCAAATACATTGACAACTTTTCTTCAAACAATTATCAAATTTCAAGGGATATAAAGACATTGGTGCATTTAGGAATTTACATATTTGTAAAAAAAAAACTAGTTATAAAACTGCATTTTTATCACCTAACACTTTCAAGATTCATTGTTATTCTTTACTAATTAATATATTAAATTAAGCCAAGGTTTTAGACGAGGAAAGTTCTACCAGTCTACTTAAAAACAGAAAAGAATATTTAAAACCAAAAGTGAAAAGGTTAGTTATGTTACATTCCAAAATCCACAGCCCATTATATTAAATGCATTCTTTCTACAGGAATGATGTTCTTTGAAACACATGATTGCAAATATTTTACTGCTAGACACTTCATTACATTGGATAGTGTGACTGGAACCTGTGGATGGTGAAATCTTGAGGTTTGTCCAAGTTTCAATGTAAGGTGTCCAAGGTCCTCTCCCAGAACCATGTTTGGAAAAAAAAAAGTCACAGATCAAGTTCTTATGACTTTCTTCAATCTTTCCTTGGCTTTCTGTTTCTGGGTGATCTATTCACAGTTTCCTCCTCCTGCAAAAAAGGAATTTGTGTGAACATCAAGGAAATAAAATCTAACAATACCCTTAAAAACCATTTTGAACAAACCTACAAAGCTCTACGTTTGGATTTAATTTTTCCTTCCTTTCTATACACGGCAAGCACACAAATCCTCTTGATTTCACTGTGGATGTACACTATTTGCTGAGAGTACTCAACAGCTGCTGCTGCTGCGAGAATCCCTTTAAATTCAAGACAAACTCCACCTATTTTTAAGTCAGCCATTATGTCAGTGTGGAGCACTTCAGAGGTCACATCCTGACTGCATACAAAGCCGAGTAAGCCTTTTGCCTCGAGAAGATGCATTCCACACAATCCCACTTGTCTCAACACAGGGTCTACGGCAATGCATAAAAGCAAGGTGCCCAGCTCCGCTCCAGCTGCCCACAGCAATTCCTGCTCTGCAGGGTGATTAAGTTTGCCAAAGTTCTGACACCAGGAGGGAGTATCACATGAGCCAGGTTAACTTTTAACACTTGAGTAAGGCTTGTTCCACATTACTTCATGAAAAAAATGCACAAGACTTCCCTCAAGCATTAAGCACTCTTACCTCTGATGCAGGTTTCCTGTCTTCTTCCTCCTCCTCCTCTTCCTCCTCCTCTTGACTAGCACTTCCTATATCAGCATCACTTCTCTGCTTCTCTTCTACGGGAAATAAAAAAAAAAAATCTCATTCTCATTTCTGACTTATCTTCAGTTCACCATTAGCTTTACTCTTATCTCTGCCAATCCCACTGTTTTATTCTATCAAAGAGAAAACAAACTATTTTGAGACTATCTAGTTTACTTACCTGGCTTTTCCTCATTTGCTTCTTCCTCCTCCTCCTCTTCCTTGTCCCCTTTATCTTTTTCTTCCTCTTTCTCCTCATCCATCACATCAGGCTGAGGAGTATCAGTCTTCTTGTATTCTGCAGCACTTGGCTGTTTCTAAAAAAAAAAACGTCAAAACCAAGCAATTATTTGTGATGTTAAGGCACTTTTTTTTTCAATCTCTTTTTAAACATTGTACTACTTATTATCAGAGGAAACATATACCTTCCCAGAACAGCAGAAAAGGACAACAAGGAACACTGGCAAAGCCACAGTGAGGATGTAGACTACCCAAAGCCCGGGACGTTTTTCTTCAGCAGCTGCCATCATCTGGCCCACAACACCAGGCTGTAAGATAAAAAGAACTGTCAAATTTCATCCCACACAGCAAGTTGTAGCAGTGAAGTTTAAGCTACAGAATATTCAAATAGGCTTTTTGCAACTTTGAACAATGTATTTCACACCTCAAAAAAATGTAAAGCTAACAGGCACAAGTACTTTTTCCATAGTTTACAAATAAGAATTAGGCTAAAGTTAACAGTCCAATTGTCAGAGCAAAAACCTCACAGAAGAGGGTATTACAAAAACACTCTCACAAATGAGTACTCATTGCTACTTATAGCAACCGTTACCATATTATAATTAGGAATTGAGATTCCAATCTAGTTTAGCAAAACCCCTAGCCTTGGTACATACAGGTATCATAGAATGTGTTTGGGTTGGAAGGGACCTTAAACAACATCTAGTTCCACCTCCCCGGCCACGGGCAGGGACACCTTCCACTAGACCAGGCTGCTCAAAGATATACTGATAAAGACTGGGAGAGAACAGCAGCAATGCTCCTACTGTTTGTCAGAAGCACATAATTCAACCTTTATTTCTCACCTCTGCAGCACCATCAGCTGCCTTCTTCAATCCCCATCCATCACTGGCCCAATCATCAGCCACAGCTCTTTCAGTACAGATTATAAAGTTGTCAAAAAAGATGTCGGAAGTCATTGACCATAACTCAAGGCCCACTGCAGTGAAGGGAGTCATCTTGAAAGGTTCCAAATCTTCAAAGAAATCTGGGTTTGGGATCTTCCTAGGTTTCCATATACCCTAGGAATGACAAAAGACATTCACCCTCACCTGCTACAAATTCAGTTTTTAGATTTCAGCCCATTCTGAACGGAGAGAAAGACAAATCTATTGCACTTAATCACAATGTCTATGGGTGCAATTTGTCAGGCTTTGGGAATCGATTTTCATTTGTGCTACAGAGTAGTGAAGCCAAGTAATAAAGTACTTTGCATCTGTCCACTTGAAACAGTACTATCATGACTGTATTTGTATTTTTAATTACACCTGCTGAATCTAAATCATTCAGCCTTTTGTAAGAGAAACTCTGCATTGGCCCGTAGTTCAAGCAATGAAAAACACCAACCTGATAGTTCACATTATCAATCATAGGAGGCTTCCATTTGCCTTTGTAGTTTGGATTGTCAATCATTGGTCGCTGCCAGGTACCACAGCCAGGGGCTGTCTCGCATTTAGGATTTGCAATCTGAGGTGCCTCCCATTCACCATCCATATCCTCATCCCTGTAAAGGGAAATTCAGTTTTGTAGTCAGCCTCTTGCCTTTATACAGAATAAGCCCTAGACAATATCTGATTCCTGGGAAAATTAAAAATTCCTACCATAAAATGGAGATGCCAAAACTTTGTATAGCACAGATCTGTAGATATAGACACCGTAGAAGGAATGAGGATTTCAAGAAGTAGCTTGGGCGCACAGAAGCTCAACGAAAGCCAGACCCTGAGCACAGCCTCCCCTGCTACCCCTTCCAAGCATGGTATAACTGCAAGATTACCATCCCTTCCCTGTTCAGCTTACAATCACAGAACAGCTGGAATGTGCGCAGGTGAATGCAAGACAAGAGCCCTCCGACCGACTCTGCCTTCTACTTTTGAAGTAAGATAGCCTGAATTGACAGCTTCGTTAGCGAGCAGCTATGAACTAGCTATCTTTACACTTGTAAAAGCCAGTAACAAAGCCATGAAATACTTGCTGTCATTTGCCAACAGGCAGCAAACATACCAATCTTCGGGCTTCTCAGCATCAGGGTCCGCTACATATTCTGGCTCATCATCCAGCCAGCCCTCTGGTTTCACAGCATTTTCATCTGCAATCTTTGCAGGAGCATCCTCATCCCTTGAGAAGAGAATATTATGTATTAACAGACACCACAGCAAAGTTCTTAACCCCAAGGCATGATTCTACAGCGTCTGAACAAGCCCACTGCTCTAGACAACCAGCCAGCTTCACTTCTAACAGGGTAAGTGTAACACCATGATTTCAGAATGGAATTGCCTTGCAATGCTCAAGGCACAATCCTCATGGTACAATCCTGATTCCAGCTGTCCAGTAATACCACTTACTTGTTAAAACCAACCTAGAAAGGGCACATTACAGCAAATCCTGTAACTTAGTAGTTGTTGCAAACACTCATTTGAGCTTGAAATTGAGTCTATGGTTCATAAAGCATAGTTCAAAGACAGAAACCCAGTATCAGTTTCTGATTTAGGTCGTCAGATATTTCAGTCACTTGTAACTATGCATTACACAAGCAACTACAAACATCCTGCAGTTCTACCTTCTGCAGCTCATCTTTTGATCTCATCAAGGATGAAAGCATCAGCTAGCATAGCTGTTTGAGTAAAACCTTCATCTGCGGCCAGCACAGTACCAAGGGCACTAAACAGTAATTTCCAGAGGACATGGATCCTGTCTGCTTTTGTCTACTCAACTGCTGCCCAGATGCCTAAACTGATCATGTTTTGTTTACAAAGCTGAGTCTCAAAACCTTCTGTAAGTCATCCGAGAAAGACTTTTTGATCAGGACCGAACTATCAGGCTAAGGCCTCCGTCAGTTCCACCCCTCCGAGGGCTTACCAGTCATCTGGTTTAACAGCATCTGGGTCTGGGATTTTTGGTCTCTCATCCCAGTCCTCAGGCTTCTGGTCATTCGGGTCCTCAATCTCTCGGGGTGGATTCACAGGAGGAGACATATCATTTAGCAAATTCCCACTGTTGACAACTGTTTGATCAACCAGTATTTCAAAACTATTATCAGGATTCAAGACTGTAAGGAAAAAAGTTGATGTAGCCATTACATATGACACAAAGTGTGCACTATAAAGCATCACCCCCACTGTACAGTTAAGACTTCAGCAATCCAAGCTACCACCTACCCAGCAACTGTTTTAAAGAATTGTTATGAACCTCTCTCCTTATGGCAAAGCCTAACTAGTGATGATGTACCACATCTCACCTTGTGAGAGAAGACTACTCCTTGCAGGAGTCCTACTTTAAATACACTAAAGGCAGAAAGAAGCTTGTAGAGGGATTTACCCGTCATCACAGCAAGCTGACTTTGGCACAATAATATTGCTTTTATAGTAAAAATGTATGTATTCACTTTCTACTCAAGATTAAGACTCCCTAATACTGACTCACAGGATTTTAATCTCACTCCTTTACCCACTGCTGTCTCTGTAGAAGGAAAAGCTAGAGAGATCGTCCTGAGTATTCCCTGAAAGATTTTAGTCATAGCTAAAGTACAGTGTCTGGTCTGGTATATTAAGTACCACGGAGTTTTTCTGGTACTATAAACGCAGCAAGAAAAAAGACCTTTACATAACAAGACAAGTTTTTGCATTCAGAGCTTTCAAGTGGTTTTCAGTTGTATGATGTGTTGACACAGATATTCAGTTGTTCATCTGGCTCCTTTCTGAGCTTTTGACTCAGGAAACATAGTAGTAGCTATTGACACACATAATTAACAGTCATTGTACCTAGAGTATAAAGATGGGTCTTCTTATCAGTAAAGTACGTCTTCAGGTCTGCATCTGGACGCTTTGCGTGCTTCTCCTCATACTTGCCAGTCTTTGGGTTTTTGTGCCGGAAGATGAAGTGCAATTTATAGTCCTCTCCACATTTATCAGGCCCAAACATGATTGTATATGGAGTTTTGTCATGGAACTGATCCTTTAAAAACAATGCAAAGTTTCATGCTATTATTTTGAAATGCAACTTAAGTCACTGCCTGGCATAAGAACTACCAATTTATGGGAAATTATTCTGCAACTTGGATATCAAGCCAATGAAGTACCCACATTAAAGCTTTTAAGAGGAATACAGACCTCTACAAAACACACCAGAATTATCCCAGCTACTTGATTTGCACCTTTGGTCTCTACTTTCCAGATGGAAAACAACAGCTCTTCAAGTGTTATCAAAAAGGTAAGTATAAGTGACAAAAACAATGTTTAAGTATATCTCTACATCACAACAAAGGATTTTAAAAGCTATCAATATAGAAGTATCAGCTACTCCAGTGAGCCTTTTTCACACAAAGTGATAAGCAGCATAGAAAGCAAAGCCAAGCTGCCTTTAGTTTACACACTTCTAAACTGGTGTACTGTCTCAATCTGAGAGCTAACTGGATATAATAATCTCACCACTGAACACTGCAAGCACATCTACTTATTCTTGCTAATGTTATCTTAAAATTCAATGCACATCTGAATCTGCTTAGACAGCCAAGTAGTCCTCTGGGTGTCCTTTCTTTCTAATACTTTGGAATCTGTATTAATAATACAACTCCAATGAGACTGCAGAAGGAAAGAAGAAAGATGGGTAACAAGTCATAAAATGTACTTTCTATAAAGCCTAGGAAGATGGCTAAAGAAAACCCATAGGCTACAAAGGCCTACGCAAGGTGACCCAGCAGTTAAGCTTAGTCTGAATAGGCTAAACCACTCTACCTAGGAGTAGAGAAAATGACTCCTAATCCTTCAGAATTGTAGCACGGTCTCTTCCATTGACGACACTTTTAAGACAATGCATTCAAGGGTGATTTATGAAGCAAATCGTTCTATATAGCTAGCACATGCAGCTGAACCATGTAAGGTTGTATCCAGTCCAACTTCTCAAGACCTTTTTTAAATATACCCAGTAACTCACAAGTGGGTTCACATGTCAAAGGCAAAGCAATAAATGCAAGGCGTATTTCTAGTTATGTGCATCAGCCGGGTTACAAAGATGAAATACGGAATCTTCCTTCTGCGCAACAGCTTCCTGAGAAGGTTTCTCCTCATACACTGGCTACTCTGATAAGATACCTGCTCTTTGGTCCTAGATCCTAGGGAAACCTGAAGTGTTGTAGACTTTAGCAAAGGTCTAGAACAGCTCAACTCTAGAACTTTCACTCAATAGGCCAGAAAATTGCAGTATTTATCCTTTCCAACTGACAATAGTGGGGAAACTGCTGAGTGCAAAGTACTTTGTTGATTAGGCCCTAAATATGCCCCACTGCCTTTACTGAAGAGGTTTCTTGAGGAATAAACAAAATGAAAAAGCTTTCTTTCATGTCTAATACTCAAAACAGCAGCATTACTCACCAGGTTCAATTCAGGCGTTTTTGAAAGCAATTTCACATAGGCCCCACCACATTCTATTCCATTTTGGAAGTTTACTTCATACCTAATTTTAGTTTTGGACAGAGAAGGAAAGCACGTGTTATACACAAGGAAAAATTACTTCTGTAATACACAGTTACAATTTTCAAGTGAAAATTAAGAGCAAGAATGTTTTGTTGTAGCTTGCTTTGTATCATGTGCCCAGCGAATATTAAAAATACATGCTGCACTCTAAGGACTAAGCAAATATTCATAAGGGCCTGAGAAACAAGAAAAATTGAGGATTTAGAAGACTTGACAGAAAAGCTTACAGGAACTGAGTGCTGGTCTAGAAGATTATGATCTACAAGTAGAGAAAAGGAAGAAAAAGCTTTCCAATATGCAAGACACCTCAACAGAGATTAAGGCAAGCCAATTGTTTCCCCACAACTGCTATGGCAGACAGACAACTCAATTTACAGGACTATCAAAGTGACAACAACTGGATCCAAGGAGAAGCCCCTTTAGGGTTATAAGCATACAACAGTATATGTAGGGATGCCAAGGAGTCTGAAAAAGGCAAACATCTCTGTCAGGAACAGGCTAAGTACGCTCAATCCCCCCTCAATGCCAGCAGCTGGAGTGGATGACCACTGGGATTTATTTTTAGCCTTGTATTCTGAGCCAAAACTAAACAGTCATGCAAAGGAAAGCAACCAACTCATTACCTTGTGCCAATATGAATTAGCTTATTCTTTGTTTAAAACTGATAAAGTAGGTAATAATCCACAATTCAACTGTTCTCACTAAACAATTTTTTTTTTCTCCCAACTTGCTAGTCTAACATACATGCAAGTAGATTCTTCTACATCAGTCATGGCCCAGCAGTGCCGGCAAACTGTTAATCTTCCACGACAGATAAAGACAACAGAAGGAGGAAACGATTGTGTCTTTACCCCTCTGTCCACTCCACCTTGGAAAGGGGGGGCAGTTTACTGCATAGGTCAGCACAGACCTACACACAAGACCAGCTTTTGTCCAAAAGGACAAGGACTTTCACAATTAGCAGTACAACAGTTGCTTGATCTTGTTAGTACCATTAAATCAAGTAAATTGAAGTCCCAAGACAGGTTAACAAGTCTAGTTTTCACAGACTTCTTTCCTTTTCAGACTTCAGAGGGACCCATGCAGTTCCTAACTTCCCACTTTGGGAATCTGGGTTGCTATTTTACTTTAACGGTGTAATAATGGATTACAGCATCTTGTGTCATCTAGACCCCCACTCAACAAAAGCTCAGTTACAGAATTAAGCCCAGCCTGCTATCATGTCACCCTTGACATAACAGAACACTAAGTTATCCTTTACTTACTGTACGATAAGAGGTTTGGTATCAAATACAAAAGGCTTTGAAAGTTTGGATGAAATTGCATGATGCTTGGCTCGGGTTACCAACACAAGCCCTTTGTCTCCTGGAAGCTTAGTGTCCTTCATGTCTTGGACTTCCCATCTCCCTGGAGAGAAATTAACCACATTATAGAAACTTTTCCAAGACAGTCTTTGCTTAGCCCAGTTTTGAACAAGACAGTCAGCATTCTGCAATAACACCCTATAGGGTACTTTATCACATTATTAACATAACATCTTCACTAAAAATTGTTTTTAAATCTCCAAGTGGATATTTGGTTTAAATTAGAACTACACTTTATGTTGTCAGCTAGTCATAAAAACACCCCTCCCACTTTCTTCAGTGAATATAATTTTAACTGGGAAACCGCAAACAAAGACTTGCACCTCTTCAACTATGACAAAAGACATCAGTAACATCCATCATCCAAAACATGTGTTGGACTCACCATCATATTTAGCAATCTCATCATCTGTATCATCTTTTTTAGCTCTGGAAAGGATCCATCTAGAAGACAAGACATCCAATGGTTGGAAAATCACACTTTTTTCCGCATTAAAAATCCTGTCCTTAAGACATCCCTTGCTGTCCTATGACTAAACCCATGTCTTGATCCCCAGAAGAGTTCTGTCCCCAAGCCTGCAAAGTATTCTGCGTTTGCCACTTCCCATCCCACCCCCAAAGTAGGATCATGGCCTCAGTGTCTTGCTCTTGTAAAAAAAATAGAAGTAGTACCTCACCATCCTCACATTACCTGAAGAAATTAAAAAGTCAGATGAGGATTAAAACACCTCCCTCTTGCTACTAGAACTTGAGGAAATACTAGTTTAGCTCAGCACTTAATAGCCAGCCTCAGACAGTCACTGCTGTAATCCTCACCAGCCACTGCCTCTTGATTCAACTTTGAATAACACAGGCTCTAGAGACTGTTTCATTGCCTTCACCAAAGTTTTAGTTATTTGCTATACCAAAGCATCCTTCAGATTATACTCACCCATCCAGAGTTCCTTTATCAAAGGACTCCGCAAAATACACCTCACCGGTTGGGACTGGGGGTCTGTAGGTGACCTATTGGAGAAAGGAAGTATTTATGCACCTTTCCAGGCACATTCTCCACTCTAAAGAAATACTGGCATACACAGCTCACATTCCCCCTCTAACACTCAAGTATAGCTTACCTGGAACGCCCTTGCAGCATAAATATAGAAGTTACATAAATAGTGCAGCTTGTTGCCAAGCCATTGTGCTCTTGTCTGCAACTAAAAGTAAAGTATGTATCTAACTAGAAACATTAACTCCTGATAATCACATCACAGATTTCAAGGGTGGAACGAAGTCTTCAGGAAGAACGTGGGGGACATGAGAATAGGAACAAAGCAGCTAAGCTAATTCCAAGCCCTATTCCCAGATAACATCTTTAATAACATCACAACATATTAAATGTTAGCAAAGTAAAGACAACTCTGATCAGACTCACATTAACCACAACACAAACAGTAATTCAATTTTTAGAAGTTGTTCCATGCCAAACCTTTGGAGTTGGAGGAGGAGTGCTTGTGTCAGGCTTCGACTCTTCTACATCCTCAATGCCATCATCCAAGTCATCCTCGACATCAACAACATCATCACCATCATTGTCATCACCCATATCATGTGCCTGGACAGCAAGAGTCCCAAGAGCTAGCAGGGTCACACACAGTAGCCATTTCAGCTCCATGATCTGAATAAATGAGACAAGACAAAGAGGTCAAGCCAGCACTGCATGCAGAGCACCAAGCATCGCTTCTCAGTACAAAACCAAGCATCCGAGACAACAGGTGAAGTGCCTACCCATACCACTGAAAGAAGCGCACACTTCTCTTTTCACCTCTGTTATTTACTGTATCTGGAATGTTGAGGCAGCTCTACAAGCTGGAGAGGAATACAACATAAACCTAAAATGCTTAACACAAAACAGACATTAACTGAGTGAAGGACCACATGTGCAAGTTCTGCAGGTCACGCTGAAGAAGTGTCCTAACTTTGCTCTTGCACTGCCACAGCTCACGAGCAGAACAGCAGACATGTATACACCACCCCAACCTCTGTAACTGCAAAAGCCTAAACAGAAAACCTATTTTTTGCTTATGAAGGACTTCACATGCATCATGCCGAAACTCAAATTTCCATTCAGTTCGGGAATTGAAATACAACTAGCTAGCTCTTTCAAGCAGAGAGCAATCTATGGAGTAATAAATCCTCCATCTCCTATTCAATATTTTTTGTCCCTTCAGCTGTGGGACGCTGCCATTTTCATTCATCAGCCCCATTTTCCAGGTTTTACTCTGAAATTACTGCCAATAGCCATTGAAACTGCTGGCAGATGTTTATAAGCAGCTGAGGCTACTAAGGCAGACCCAGAAGAAAATTTCTTACTATGTTAACAGACAGTCAATAAGATTCCCCTCTTTCAATCACTAATTTAACAGGATGACCAAAGAAGAGTATCTGTTAACAGAGGCTTCACAGAATTAAAATATCACACTTCAACTAATTTATAAGGTGCCCAGCATGCTGCCACACCTAAAATATGTTAGACCTTGGCAAGCTGTAGCTCAAAAGATCTTCTAAGTAAAAAGAGTTTGAATTTTACTTTCTTGCTGGAAAAACTACCAAGATCACTCCACCTTTATGTTCATGCAGAAGGCAACACTTCTAGCACACTGCTCAGTTTTATCCGCTAAAAAAATAAACCCCAGTAGAACAACTGGTGCCTTGCTCACCTTTTCTCCTTTGAATCACATTCCAAATTTTTCTTCAAAAACCCAGAGCTGTAACAGACTAATACTTCTTCAAAAGCAAGTATAAAACCCCAACATCCTCTCCTTCCCTTAAACTCCTGCCTCGGACTGTAGCACAGTAGACTTACAAACATGACTCAAGCAGAGTCATTCGTGCCTGTAGGGACATAAGTTCAGCCTGGAAAACAAGCTTTCAACTTTCCAAAGCATGTTTAGGCAACTAAAAGAGTTTACAGTCTTAAAGGCTTATCAACACTATCCAATACTCCAGAACTATGTTGCATACCAGATCTACCATTCTCAGATTATTCTTTAACTTACTTCTAATGACAGATGGGATGTTTTATAAACCACAACAAAACGTTGTGTTTTAAAGACTTGTGCTGAAGCCATGTCCAGCTTGTCACTACAGCAACATGCAATTGCAGCCAGTTTTCTAACAATAGCGATGGCCTCACGGATTATGGTCTAATGCACAACCCTCCCCCTCGCCGTACAGGCAACTGCACTGAAACACGTCCGAGCCAAAGGGCACCATTCGCAGCACCAACACCTGACGAAAAAAAAACTTTCAAGTGTTGCTACATACGAGCAAAGCATGCTTGCTTCATGCACAGTGTATAGCCAGAATTGAAGACAGTTACAGACCTCACAGCTCCTTGATCTTACTGCTCATGTGGGAACTACAATACAAACCCATGGAATGCAAACTGTCAAGCAACCATCGGTACCCTTGAAAGTTCAAGTTCCTCTTGCATAGAGACCGTGTTCTCTAAACTCATGCCCACCAGTGTAAGAAAAGTACGGAAAACAAGAGCCTGAAACTTCATTTGAAAAAGCAATCTTTAGAACTCTGGATGTGTCCTGTGCAACTGAAGCAACTACAGATGAGATGGCACAAGGACACCTGTCCAAGGGCAGGGCTGAATTTTGTCTTACCTTCCCAGCAGGGCCCCACCAAAGCTAAATTCAGGAAGATTTTACCTCAAGTTTTATAACTGCTTTCAAATTACATCACGCAGATAGAACAATCAGTTCATGATTTGGAAAGTGATACAAGGAAATTGATCTTAAAAATATAGCAAGGTTAAAGATAAGCCAATACTCTCTCCTCTGCTTCTAAGAGGAAGGAGTTTCTCCAGACCTCCTCCCAAGCTTGTGCAAAGGGTATTAACAATTTCGCATGCAAGTAATCCCTTAAGTAATCTCACCACCAGCCAACCAGCAACAAAGTTTTGGTGAAAGAACTAAATCATTCCCCCTAACGTTTGTGCCAGTACCGCGTCCACACATAATAATTACCTACTTCACAATCCCACCCCAACTACAACCCTTGGGAAATGCCTGCCAGCAGCAAACAGACTTAGGGAAATGCCAGCACTTCTTGCCTGGCTAAGTGGCAAAGCTGCACAGCCTCATACTGCAGGTAAGGTTGCTCCAGAAATTCCGGTGTCAAAGCATCCTAGTGAAATCGGACAACTCTACCAGTGACCCATACAGCAGGGGCAAAAGCTATGCCACTGTGCACATCTGTGCTCCCGATACAACCATAAGCATCTACCCTGCAGGTGTGCATTTATCAGTTATGTTCTGTCTGAATATAAGGCCTCACTGACCTCGTCTCAGAGTAGAAGTATTATCAGTTCCAGTTCCCAAGCAAGCTTTTTTCCTCCCGCAAAAAATAAAGGTACATGCATGAAGAGAAGCCAATCCAGTTTCATGTCCTTGCCTCTTTATAATCATTGCCAAGCAGTATTCACAAGTTTATACCCCTACAGAAAGCTGTTTAGGACACCTCCTACATATTAAATCAGTCCCAAATTCAAATTCAACACAAGCTACCGTTCATACACCTTGAGTACAGACTGGTAGCATCTCCTGCAACTGCCAGTTGTCATGCCAAATTCCTCACTCTGCTAATCTGTAACAATATACAAACTAACTACATTATAAGAAATAAAAGACACTATGTTCTCAGAAGAGAAATTTAAGTGAAGCAAACACTTTCAATATTTAAAAAGTTACTTATACCCATCATGGATGTATGGCTACAGGAGAAAATTTCAACTTCACACAATCCTTAGGGACAAAACAAACATGATTATGCTCTAGTAAATTAGGTTATTCCTGAACAGAAGATAGAAAGGGAGGGCAGAAGGGGAAGAGAAGAAACTCAGGTTTTATACAAAACAGGCATAAACCAATTTTTCTGTGGAGCTTTAAGTTGATAGCAGCTACAGGTGTTCAATTAGTCACCTAAAACACAGGCTAACCTCCAGATGCACAGCCACCTACTCTGCTCTGATCAGAAATCTCCCTTCAAGAAGTGCCCAATTTCCAAGCAATCATCACCATTAGCCATTTTTTTTTACTCTGCCTGCACTTCCCTTCTTTAGGTTTAGCTGTGTAATATTTCTGAATGTTAGCATATTTCGGATCATGTAACTGCCAAAAGTCTTTAACAAAGGAACCCTTTCATAACCAGCAAGAGCTTCTGATGTCTCCATTCTACTTCAGTGCAACCCCCATTTTCACCACAACACTGCTGCAAATCAGAGATGACTAAAACTTCATCTATTTTTTTTTTAGTAAGGTCTTGAGACACTTACAGACATCAGCACACCACCTGGATAGAAGGGAAAACTACTGCAGTACAATACCAATGTACTAACTAGGAAGAGAGTTGGAGACTGCAAGGCTAACAAATCACTTGTTCTATGCCTGCGTGTTCATCCACTGCCAGCTTCCACACTAGGAAAATTGTATGTGACATTTAAGCACTGTTCACAGCCCCTGACTGTCAAAAGGCTGAAGGATTTTCCCCTGGAATTCATGGGAGGTATAGCAGAGCACTGAAAATGGACACCTGGAACAGTTGCACTACGCAGACGTCGTTTTTTACAAAGCAAGAACTAAACTAAATTGGAGTGAGACGCAGAGACAGGATCAGCTTCTTGCCATTGAAGTGGCACTGTTAAAATGCAGGGCTAAGTGATTGCTACCTTTGGATTTCAAGGCTTTCAAGGAAGTCATCCAGCTTCGGAGATTTATTTTTATTTAGAATTCCCCTCTCACTGGACATAAAGGGGAAAGTTTTTAATTACTGACACGACACTGGAAACACTTGACCCACACAGCAGACCATTGTCACCACTCTCTCTAATGCACATGTCCCAGGGAAGGATAGACAGTGAAAGGGCCCACACAAAGGATGTTTTAAGTCCTTTGCTATCATACTTTCAGAACATATTATTTAGAAAGTAACTTCCCTGTCAGGTCAAACAGAGCCTGCAAAACCAGTTTAATCACCTCCCTGGTTATTAATCTAGTTCAGTGGTTCATCAAGCCAGCTCTTAACACTGCATATTTCAGAATGTGTAACTATATTTGAATTGCTACTGGCTACCTAGTTTACTACTTACTTTTTTTAGAATAATTAAGTCAGATGAAATGGTCTTAAAAATAAGTCACTTACTATGAACTACACCTCAGCAATTTAACTGGACGAGCATCAGTGGTTTCTATTTCAGCAGCATCTGAAGTGACAGCTGAATGACTTACATAAAGGAAGAGCAAAACTTGCTACCAAGGCCCTGTGTTCCAAACACCGGATTTCAGTATGGTATTTACAATGGAAGCACACCAGTAAAAACAAGCACAATGTGTCCTCATGCAAGGCAAGAGCTATGGAACTAAAAATTAAAGGTACAAAAGTAAAGAAATTCATCGCAACACAAAAAAACGCAAGGACCAAAGAACAGAAAGGCTGAGACACAGATACTCATTTTCCCCTCTCAAATGAGATTTTTATTGTTTCTGAGCAAAGGCTTGGCTACCCTACCTCACAGTCCACTAATTTCTTAAAGTCGGAACTACCACATAGCAGAGGAAATCTTTTCTCCACCTCACAGTCCTCCACCTTCCACACCCCGGCTCATCTGTGGTGCCAAGGTAACTGTTTACACAGCCTCACGATGAACTACCAGCTGGTTTAAGACTGCTTGAAGCCGTTCTGCCATATTATTTTAACCCTGAATCAATACCCTGTCCAATCCAGCACACGACGACAGAAAGAGCTGTAGGAGGACAAGGGAAAGTACTGTGAGATGAAGTAAGCAGCCAAGGATAAAGGCAATTAAGCTGCTGGCAGCAGAGTCAGCTTCATGCCACAGTTTTACATCCAGTTCCATCCCTCGCACTTCTCCAAGGCAGACCTGTCCTTAGGCAGATTTGGGAGACATACACTCTATGGCAAAGCTGAACAACTAATTGTGTGGCCAAACACTACAATTTCAGCAACCAGTACATTACCTCACTACTCCTCTGAACGGGATACAATAATATTACGCTCATATGTACGCAGCAATTCGTATGATGCAAACAACTGTTTTTTCCCCCGTTAAAAACTTAGTTTTGCAGCTAGACAACTTCCAGCATTGTGACAATTCTGCCTTTAACATCACAACTTGATGACAAGCAGACAAGGCTGAACTAGAACAGCCTTGCTTACAACAGGCCAGAGGCAGGAGCTCGGTGTGGGGGTGGCTCCCCCCCACCTTTGTTTTAAAGGAGGGGGTGGCTAGGATACACTGCTACATAAGGTTAGAAGGTGGTCTCCTGGAAAGGATTAGCCAAACCTCTCCTGGAGAGCTCGACAGCCCCACAGAAAAAGCTGCCCTCTGGGTTGTAAGGAGCACAAACCAGGCAAGAGATTACGTGTGAAAGGTGACAGCAACAAAGCTTGCTTTTAATAAGCATTTCAAATACACCAGTTTCTAAAAATAATGGACAACAGTGCAGATAGAGTAAGGGAGAAAACACCATGTACCACTTGTCAGCAAAAAGATCATTCCCGCAGAACTGGAAGTCCTTGGAGGGCACAGACAGAACTGCAAGGCTTTTTGACTATAAAGCAGATGGGCTGTTAGGGAAATTACATTAGGTGGGGGGAGGTCTGGAGGTGCCCCAAGATCTTTCAGACCACCGTGTCTAGAAATCAATTCAAGTTTGCCCTGCTACAGAATGGATTCCAGCAAGAACAGGCTGCCATCGTGATCACGGCTAGAGGCAGAAAAATGAAAGGCCAGAAAAGGAAGTAAAAGGCAGGGCTAAGTACAAGTCACAGTGTATTCTCAGTAAAGGATTTACTCATTTACTCAGGGGGAAGTGCTGCAGCACATCAAATGAGGGTGATCTAACGGAAGCTGCAAGCTTTCTTACTGTTTGGCATTGGGCCTCCCTTCCTAGGAGGGCAGCTGATAGCCAGAAGCAGTTTACATCTTACACTCAGCCTGTGACGTTGTCTGTGAACTGTACCAGTATTCCCTTCGCAGTATTTTTTTTTTTTAAACTAGAAATACTGAGACTTAAGACAAAGTTTAACTCAAAGCTTCTCCTAGTTTTGTTAAGTGTTTTGGATAAGCGTACGTAACATGTCCAAACCAACAATGATGGTTTGGGACTTTTTAAAGTCATTTCAAGTACATCAGAGTGAACCTAGAGTAACATATTTTAACTGTATTTAACGAGTATTTTATCCGTATTATCTCATACATTATTATAGTCCCACTGTCTCCTTGCAACATTTTAGCAACAACCCAAACCACAGTGGGTGAAGTGTCCCATAAAACCTGTATGTTGGCCACACTTGTTTGACAGTGTTAGGTAAACATACTGCATTAAGGAAAACACTACATTCCCAGAGATGAGTTTTCAGATATCTAACATGTCTAAATAAGTCCCAGAAAGAGTCTTCCACACTGCTCTGCAGAAACCCTGCAGCGTTAATTAAGTTAACACTAATAATAAAGTCCGGACCTTTACCATTACCGCTACATGTTTGCTTCCCTTCACAACCAAACCACCTGCTGCATTTCTCTTTCTACAGCCTAGAAAGTTCTTAACCACAAAACTGCATGTGAAAATTCACTCTTAAGAATTGGTACAGACAAGAAAGTAGAAGCCTATGCGTGCTTTAATCCAAGGATATCGGGTTTTCTGTTTGAAAAGCACGCAATACCATCCTCAGCCAAAAACGGCAACCGAGATGTCATTCTGAAAACACTCAATCTCAGTGATATGCGGGCGGTAAAAACCAAAGCACGTGTCCGAATTCCCCCAAACTCTCCGGCCCTGCTGCTGCAGTCTCCTCCTCCGCTCCCCACCTCCGGCCTCCCTCGCTGCTCCATCACCGCATCTTCCCCACCCGCCGGGCCTCCAGCTCCGCGCCCCGAGCTCCCCCTTTCCAGAGGCTTTAGCTTCTCCCGGGCCCGGCCCCACGGCC